ATGCTGACTTTTTCACAGTCAAGGATGACAATATCTGCATGAATGTGAATGGTGTTGACTTTGTGATGGATGAGGCTGTGTTCGGAACTATCTTGGGAGTGCCTACTGACAGAATATCCTCCATTGAGGGGACTTGTTCTTTAAACTTCAGAAATACCATTTTGAAGGATGATGCAGTACAACAGGGGGAACAGGTACACAAGAAGGCCCTTTTTCCAGTATACCAGTTGTTATTCGAGATGGTGAACAAGGTTTTGCTCCCTTGTGCAGAAAGGCGTTCCATTACGTCATGAGTAGACCTGTTCCTCATGGAAGCACTAGATGCATACTCCACTATCAATCTGCCGGGTATCATGATTGAGCACATGAAGAATGTGGTAAATTTCAAGGATGGTAATAATGGCCTGCCCTACGGGTTTTTACTCACCAAAGTATTTGAGTTCTTCAAATTCCCTTTGAGAAAGGCTACAGTAGGTACTCACAAGCAGACCTTCTCCAAGACCACCTTAGAAGAGTATGAGTGCATCGATAAGAAAAAATGTCAGCAATTCCACTATCTCTCAACTGATTGAATCTTAGAACATTGCCACTGAAGAGATAAGGAAGTTGAAGGCACGAAATGTTATTCTTGAGGGACAACTTATTCAGGTCCAGGAGGCACCTGGTTCCAGCAGTACACAAGGCGCAGAGGTTGCCCGTCTAACCAAGGAGAATACTGATCTCAGGAAACAGCTTGAGGACCTGAAGGAGAGGTTACTCACTGAGCAAGGGGCCGCAAATGCTCGAATGTATACCCCCCTTAGAACTCTTGCCTCTTCATCTCTGCCTCCCCCTTCCAGTGCTCCTTAAAATCGTTCCCTTCCCAGTGTCAAGTTCAAGTTGTATGTCCTCTATTTTGGTCTCCTCTGTTTGGATATGTTTAATGGCTGGTACTTCTTTTTTGTTGTTTTATTTTGTGGATAATTATGTAACAAATGACACTACTCCCTGTTGATTTTCAAAGTTAATGTATATCCCGTCCTTTTGCTATGCATGCTTTGCTCTTCTACTATATTTTTAGTTATGTTTGTGTGGACACATGTGGCATGAGTTAAGCTTGGTAGACGTCTTTGCTTATTGCTTATTACTAGTCTTTTTATGATGCCAAAATGGGGAAAAGTAATTGAGGGGGAACATAGGGGAAACAGGTTCAGGGGGAATATAATTTTTTTTGGTACTATTTACGGTACTCTCGTTCTCAGGGAAAATTTCAATTACAAGTTTGTCATCATCAAAAATGGAGAAATTGATATGTTATGTGTCCTGTTATGTTTTGATGATCTAACAAACTTAATGTTCAGAACCAGATGGGGAACCTGCTCCACATCCTTAAAGTGCTCAAGATCAACAAGTCTCGAGTCTGAGACATGTTCCAACACTCAGAGTCAAAGAAATAACAGAGGGAATAGATGGAGATCAATTCCCTTGCTGACTGTACCAGTCAACTCCCCACAACTGTAAAGTGGTTGCAACTGTTTCTCAGCACGCACGCAATAATGCAAATAGTGCATCAGTCACTTTATGGGGAATGCCTTTGTACCAAATATGCTTACATCATTCAAGTGATGCATTTATGTAATATTAACATGAAGCAAAGGTAAAACATTGCACTTGCACATTTCAGAATTCATCAGATTCCTCTCAAGTGTGTTGCCAACTTGAAAGTGACGTTCAAGGCGTCAAGAACAGAGAATAACATAACGAAGGACCTGTTTCCTGCATTGAGTCATTATATGTCCTTAGTTGTGTTGCACGTTTGTTAAAGTGATTTACTTGTAATTCCTACTTAGCTTAGTTAGAAGCATTGTGTAGGAAACCTTTTGTAAAACCATAAACCTTGTGTTTGTGTCTTGGTTAGAATTAGTCGAGTTGTAAGCTTTGTAATAGAGTTATTACAAAGGGACTTGTAATAGAGTTATTACAAGTTAGTGAGGGATTAAGAGGTTAATTCCTAGGTTACAATAGTTTGTAATCTGAAGTTCGCTCAGTAGTGAAGTTGAAATCCTACGAGTGTAGATCGTGGTTTTTAATCCCGTGAGTTGAGAGTTTTTCACGTAAAACTCTATTGTGTTATTTACTAATTGCTGCTGTGTATGTTCTGTGGAAACTAATAGAGAACCTGATTCTCTATATAGTTTAGTGACCCTTAGTCTCTATCATTTTTAGAAGCACATACAATGTTAAAGGTTGAAGACGGTTTTTATTTGTTTTTTCCTTTGACAGGATCATTAGGACAAAGTTAAAAAATGATACTGTTAAATTAAAATTTTAGTATGCTTTCTTCAAAAGGGGAATAGCTACACGGAGCACCATTTTATCATTGGAGAGAGTCGTGCAAGAAAAATTAAGATTTTGGGCCTAGCTTTTATATAGTCTTTCACCTATATGAGAGATGGGTCTGATTTTGCGACTTTCGTAGAAACTTACCTACTAGCAGGATTTTTTCGCTTATTTGTATTTTTTATTTTTTATTTCTTTTGGTAAAAATATTGCTTCCGACAAATGCCTACTTCCACATTTGTCAAGTCTCGGCACCTAGAATGATGTTCAACACTTAACTAGTAACCTAAATATGGAGCCAATCAATCATTTATAGCATATAGAATCATAGTACTATAGTCATATAAAAAAAAGTTTGAGTCTTAAGATTCTAGTATTAGCATTTCATTAAATAATAGGAGAATTAATTTTGATATTGACTGGAATTATTTATAGAGACTAAATTTTATGCACAAAATATTTCGAATTACACAATTACATTTTTGTCATAAACATTAAGTAATAGTTTATGTTATAATTGGATATTTATTCTGATAACGTAAACAACAACAACAAACCCAATGTAATTCACATGTGAGGTCTAGGGAGGGTAATGCATATGCAGACCTTATCCCTACCTTGTTAAGCCAGAAAAACATTTTTTGATAGACCCTCGGCTCAATGAATAGTGAAAATAAAGTAACAAGCAATAGCAACAATAATGCAATAGACACAAATGATATAACATGTAGTAATAAAGAAACGAGAATAAGAGAAATACAAAAATAGTACTAGTACTACGGGAAAGACTAAGAGACACTACCTGTCCCCTTCCACTCTAATTCTCGACCTCCACCCTTTCCTATCGAAGGTCATGTCCTTAGTAAGCTGGAGCAATAATATATCATGCCTAATCACCTCAACCCAATACTTCTTAGGCCTACCCCTACCCTTCCTTAGTCCCGCCATGGTCAATCTCTCACACCTTCTGACCGGGGCATTTATGTCTCTCATCTGCACGTACTCGAACCATCTCAGCATCGGTTCCCGCAATTTGTTCTCCACCGATGCAACACTCACTTTTTCCCTAATAACTTCGTTCCTAATCTTGTCTTTTCTGGTATGCCCACACATCCATCTCAACATCCTCATCTCAGCTACCTTCATCTTCTGGACATGAGATTTCTTGACGGTCCAACACTCTGCTCCATACAACATAGTCGGTCTAACCACCACTCTGTAGAACTTGCCTTTAAGTCTTGTTGGCACATTCTTATCACAGAGAACCCTATAAGTGAGCTTCCATTTCATCTACGCCATACCAATCCGATGAGCAACATCATCGTCAATCTTTCCGTTGCCTTGGATTATAAACCCAATATATTTGAAACTATCCTTTCTGGGGATGACTTGTGTATCAATCTTCACTTTCACTTCTGCTTTAGTCATCTGAAATTGCACTCCAAGTACTCTATTTTTGACCTGTTCTACTTGAAATCTTTAGACTCCAGTATCTGCCTCTAAACCTCCAACTTAGCGTTAACCCCGCCTTGCGTATCGTCAATCAATACTATGTCATCAGCAAAAAGCATACACCATGGCATCTCCCCTTGTTTTTGTCACGTTAGCACAACTAATGCTACGGCAAAATAAAACGGGCTAAAAGTTAATCCATGATGTAACCCCATCTCCACTAGGAAATGCTCCGAGTCACCATCCACAATCCCCACCCGAGTCTTAGCTCCCTCGTACATATTCTTAATCACTATAATGTACGCTACCGGAATACCGCTAACCTCCAAACATCTCCTTAGAACCTCCCTCGTAACTTTGTCGTAGGCTTCTCTAAGTCAACGAACACCATATGGAAGTCCTTTTTCCTCTCCTGATTCTACTTCACCAATCTTCGCACAAGGTGAATGTCTTCGGTAGTTGACCGCTCCGGCATAAATCCGAACTGATTCTCGAAAATAGACACACTTCTCCTCAACCTCCTCTCCACCACCCTCTCCAAAACTTTCATAGTGTAAATCAGCAGTTTGATACCCCTATAGTTATTGCAGTTCTGGATGTCACCTTTGTATTTGTACAACGGAATCATCAAACTCCACCTCCAATCTTCAGGAATCTTCTCCATCTTGAAAATGACATTAAACAAATCAGTAAGTCACTCTACGCTAGCCCGACCAGCGCTCTTCCAAAATTTCAATGGGATCTCGTCAGGCAGTCGCCTTACCCCTGCTTATCTTCCGCATTGCCTCCTTAAACTCCACAACCTTGATACGGCTACAAAACCCAAAATCACTCTGTATCTCTGAGTTCTTCAACTCACGAGCACAATGTTCCTATTTCCTTTATCGTTCATGAGTTTATGGAACTACGTTTGCCACCTAGGCCTAATACACGCTTCTTCTATCAATTCCTTGCCATCATCCTCTTTGATAATGTAAACAATTGAACCAATTTATATAACTCAATTTTTCTATCAATTATAAGAAACTAACTTTTCCAAGGTAGTGAAATAAATAATCAATAGAAAAAGAAAGACCTCACAAAAGGAAAAAGAAAATGAAAAGGGCTTCCCATGGAAGTAATAGGAAAAGCAAAAGAATACAAAAAGAAAGAGAAAGTTAAAAGATCTAACTAACTAACTCTATATATATATATATTGAATAAAATAATTATGCTTTCTTTATAATTGAGTGGTTTTCTCTGCATAGGATTATAGGGGGTATAGTTAAACTAAAGACTAATATTTTCCAATACATTTCCTTATTCTTCAACGTAAGAACGTCTTGTCATCTACGAAGCCGCTACCAGGAGCGGCCACTAGCTTACCCCTTCCCTTCCTTTCCTTTCCTTTTTTCTTTGTTCACAGCCACTATCTTCTATGTTGTCAAGATAAGTTCATTCCAAAACTTCTTCAGTACAACTTCATCTCCTTGGCCTCCTTAACCAGACAACACTAGTAAAAATATCCAATTATTATTATTTTTTGTGTGTGTTTCTTTTACTAAATAAAGAAGAGATCTCGAAGAGTTAAATGAACTTTCCCCCTATAGTTGTGTTAGTTTGACGAATAATAAGTATTCTAGACTTTGTTTAGGGTTTCATCTAGTTCTCAACTGTTTATCCACATCTTTGATTTAGGGTTGCCGATCTTCATATATTTTTTTTACCATATCTTGTTAGGGTAATTAATGGAGAATAATTACAATCAACTGGGGGAGAACTCATCTCAAAGAGGTAATAACTTCTTGTACGGTGGAATTCCGCTTCTTTCATCCCCAAATTCATCTATTTATGGAAGAACAAGTGGCGGCGGAGGCGGAGGCGATTGTTATGATCAATCTCAAGCAGTGGTACATCCCATAGTGAAGACAGAAGGAGGCAGCAGCACTTCTCATCATCATCATACATTTCAGTACCCTTCGATTATTCGTAGTGGATATCACCATCAGACGGTTCAAAATCATCACGAGAGTGAGAGTTCTGGTAGTGAAGTTGATGCTTTAAAAGCCAAGATTATTGCTCATCCTCAGTGTTCTAACCTTTTGGACGCTTACATGGATTGTCAAAAGGTAGTATCAACTTTTTTCTTAAATGTAAATATATTGACATAGCTTGAACAAATTGCTTGCTCAGTGCTCATCTTTTTTCTTGAGACATTCCAAAGTGAATTAATTCACTTATAAAAAATAAATTGATTCTTTGTCTCCGTTTCTCCGAAAACTAGTTTAATTTTCATATTTTGACTGTATAAATAAATTTTATGAATAATTTTGAGTGATTGAATATGACTCTTTTAAATCAGTTAGGCTCAACCTTAGTAGCCGTTTTCACTTAAATCATACCTTTGCTCAAGCGAAATGAACTTTCTTTCTTTTAGGTAGTCGATCTCTTTGTTGGCTAGATAATTACAAATAACTACTCACATAATAAATGCAACTAGTTATTTTAAAAATAAGATTAACATGTTATAATAAATTAATTACATTGATAATTAAAAATTATTAATACTGTCATTATTTTTATATAGGTGGGAGCACCGCCGGAAGTGGTGGCGAGGCTATCGGCAGTACGGCAAGAGTTTGAAGTGAGGCAGCGAGATTCATCGACCGACAGGGATGTTTCCAAGGACCCAGAACTTGATCAATTTATGGTCAGTTTCTTTTAATATCTTTATCCTAGTAACATTTTTTATTTTACTTTTTCAATTTAATATTTAATAATGTAGGCATGAATTTCTTTGTATTTATATCCAGGAAGCTTATTATGACATGCTAGTGAAGTACAGAGAGGAGCTTACAAGGCCCTTACATGAAGCAATGGATTTCATGCGAAAAATCGAAACTCAACTTAATATGCTTGGTAATGGTCCCGTCCGGATCTTCAACTCTGGTACTTACTTCCTTTTCTTCTTCCTCATAAATATTAGCACTAGCGGAGCTACAATTCTACTTACGAGTTCCGCAGAATTAAGTAGTTTTCCCGTACCCAAATCCATATACTTAAAATCGTAACTTTGCCTCTTTGAACTTTGGTACTATTAGTAGAGAACAGTGAAGTTTGTTCTTCATCGAAATTGTCAAGCATGGAAAGAATGAGAGAAGAATAAACAAAGGGACTGGTTAAAGTTCCTTATTTGAATGCTTAAAGAAGGAAAAAAAGAAAGAATTTGTGTTGGTTCATTTAATACTGTGCCTATGTTTGTGCTATTTCCGTTCAAGACAGCTTTGACCGAAAACATCAGTCTCCATTTCCAATGCTTTTCTGCGTCGAGTAAGAAAACCCTATTTACGACTGTACGAGTGGAGTAATAGTACATACTCCTACTACTTTAATCTTAAAAATAAGAAGATATATGATTTGGTTGCATTATGCAAATATAGTATATACTTCATTGTTAAAAAAAGAGATAATTTGGTTGCATTATGCAATAAATAAATGGGGAGACAGACAAATCTTCCAGATATAAACAACGAGGAAGCCACACGTTTGTTTCTCTAATCTTCTTTAATTTTTCTTTAGCTTTATGGGTCCAGATTTCCAGTGTATTCTGACAAATTCTTAATGGTAATATTGTTCCCACTAAATAAATTCTGCACTACATATATATATGATCTTTCTCTCACAAACACATTTGTCTGACACTCCACAGTAACTACTTGAGTCTTTATAGTAGTACGTACTTGCCTAACTTTCCTATGTACTCGTAATATTAAATTTCCTGTGTTATAGTATGATTAAACACAATCTTATAAATGGATATACTTGGTGTAAAATTACTGCTTCCTTAAAAGAGAAAATAGAATGTGATTAGAGCGAAGCCATGTGGTCAAAAGGATGGTAGTTTATTATTCTTTGTCGAAAAATTATACTGTACATATAGGCAAAATATTGTATATTTTAGAGGTATATAACACATATTAAACACCCTTTATCAAATATTTTTTTCATTTTTTTTAAATTTAAATATCTTCGGAGAAATTTCTAATTTTACCGCTGAACACGGATTCATACAACAAACAAAAATGTAAATACGTGCATGTATCCGAAGGTAGATTGTATAATAATATTGCTGTCATTTCCAAGTAGAGTTTGCTTTTGAACGTGGTCTTCTGCGGTAGCTAATAGGCATTGGAAAATGAAGACCATTTGGGTTCTGTTCATGATCAGTGCTATACCATGTAGCCTGCCATGTTTGTCAGATATCTTTTTTCCAATATTTTATTTCCTCTTTAGTTTTAATTTTGGTCTTCTCAACTAACTAGTTGTTCTTTTCACTAGTTTCTGTATTTAATTTCTACGTCTCTCGGGACATGTTGATTCCATTTTCTAATCATATATTTTTGTAATTGCTTCTTTTGCGATTATAAGCAGCAGTTTTCTGTACAAAAAGTAATTTCGTAAAGCAAGGTACAACAACGAGCTAAGGAAAATGGACATGAAAAATATATGAGAGAAAAAAGATGTAATACTATTGTTGCTTCGAGTACCACATTCCTCTTAGCTTCTTTCCTTTTATGTTTATCTTAGACTTCTCTTTTCCTCTTTTTAAAAAAAGATTGGAGTCTAATACACGTGTATCTTGGCTGTCCATCCAGATTTTGGTTTAATTGTAAGAGAGCGGAGCACAATGTGTCAGTTAAGCACATATCATGATCGAAACTGCAACAAATAAAAATTTAATATTTTATTCGAAAAAGTAAAGAGGAGAGCGCATTATCGATCGAATTTCGAACCATGCGCCTTGGAATTTCTTGGTTATCAAAACAATCCATAATGTGCCATGGAAATGATTGAGAATGAAATTAATTTTTGTCTCCCTATGAACAAGTACCCAATGGTATGAGCTTGAAATTATTCATCAACCAATCATAAAACTATCCTCCAACCAAGGTCACGGGTTGGTAAAGTTGTCTCTGTACCTATAGGTCACGAGTTCAAGCCGTGGAATCAGTCACTAATACTTGTATCAGGATAGACTACCTACATCATATTCCTTGGGTCCATTCCTTCTTCGGTTCCTGCGTAAATGCGGATACTTCATGCACTAGGCTGCCCTTGCCCTCCCTATGAATAAGTACCAAATAGTATGGGCTTGAAATTATTCTTGAACCAATCATAAAACAGTCCTCCAACCAGAAATATTATATGGATTTATCTCACTTGCGTGAAGTTTAAAAGATAACATCTACACTTCTCTTTTGTTTCCTTAAAGTACTCTTTTGTATAATATTATTGAAGAAGCATGACAAGAAAGGGTTGTTTCCTTCTTTGGAAGTGATAAAGAAGTTTCCTCTTTTGGGATCTTATCAACATATTGAATAAGACACTTTACAAGAATAATTCTTTGGTCGAATAAGGTCTGTTGCCCCTCTACTATTAAGTTGCCAACTCTAGAGGATTACTTATATAATATATATTTGTCTCTATGTGGAAGAATACTTGTCGTATATAGTAATTGGAAAGGTGCTTTGATTGTAAGGCATATCTTCATTTAAACTTTTGTTTAATCACTATTACAGAAAATCTCAATTCAGGATTCATCTCATACGTGATTGGTTTTCATAAATATCTTTTCAGCAGGAGTTCCAAACAAATTCCACTTAATTCTCACACATACTTGATAGAGAATCGATCCCTCTTGAAACAGAATGTTCATCGTTTTACTTTGCTGTTAGGTCGATTTGTGCAAAATTCATGCTTTTGTGTGAGCCAAAAAAACAACAAAGAATTAAACTATAACTGTTTAGTGTCATTAGATAGAAAAGAACAATAAAACCAAACTGTGCTTGAGGAGGAAAATTAGCTACTTGAGAATCCTTTATAGTTAAACAAAAAAGGACTAAGTTTCCACCAGTCTTTTGACTTTACTAAAGATTGATACGCCAGTAGAAAATATATAGAATTTTCAGTGTTTATGCAACAACGTTTAGGATTCTTATAGCCAAATCTAATTTGCCTGAGACATAAGCATAGTAGTTGGTTGCTATAGTATCCACCACTGAAAATAGTTTATCGACATGATTTTTTTTGAAGAACTTAACTTTTGCAATTATTGAGAGTGAAACTAGATACTATTGATTTCAGGCAGCAAGGTGAAGAATAATTAACCTATATCTTCTTTATTGATATAAATAAATGGACAGAGGACAAGTGTGAAGGCGTCGGATCGTCGGAAGAGGAGCAGGACAACAGTGGTGGAGAAACTGAAATTCCTGAAATTGATCCACGAGCAGAAGACCGTGAACTCAAGAACCACTTACTGAGAAAATACAGTGGCTATTTAAGTAGTCTCAAACAAGAACTTTCCAAGAAGAAGAAAAAGGGGAAATTGCCCAAAGATGCACGCCAGAAGCTGCTCAGTTGGTGGGAATTACATTACAAGTGGCCATATCCTTCGGTATGAAACTCTACACAAATATGCACTACTCGTTGTTTCACCTAATATGGTATGAGTTTAACTTCTATACAGTAACGGTGTAAAAGAACTTTTAGACTATTAAATCATCTAAAATATTACTATAGGCAGAGGCGGAGTCATGTTTTAAATTGTATAGGTTCTAAATTTAATTTTTGTACATATTTAGTAGATTTATTAATACAAATACGGAGCTTGGACTAAAGCTACTGGGTTCGACTGAACCTGTATGTTGTCCTAAGATAGCGAAATTCCTTGTTGGGTAAGTTCCGACCCGCACGAAAGGCGTAACGATTTGGGCACTGTCTCATAGACTCAGTGAAATAGATATGTGAAGATGCGGACTACCTGCACCTGGACAGAAAGACCCTATGAAGCTTTATTGTTCCTTGGGATTGGCTTTGGGACTTTCCTGAAGCTTAGGTGGAAGGCGAAGAAGGCCTCCTTCCGGGGGGCCCGAGCCATTAGTGAGATACCACTCTAGAAGGGGTAGAATTCTAATCTTGCGTCACGACAGCTCCGCCCCTAACTATACGTCATTGTTTATAAAAAAAATGAAATTATTTTCTGTAAAATAAGGTAGGTTACCTAGTTTAAAAACATATACAATTAATGTAGAAATTTCTAAATTCTATGGTCTTGGTCTAGTGTCAATTTAAGTTTGTAATAAATTTGCAGGAGTCAGAGAAGGTGGCATTGGCTGAAACAACAGGTTTGGACCAGAAACAAATAAACAACTGGTTCATAAACCAAAGGAAAAGACACTGGAAACCTTCAGAAGACATGCAGTTCATGGTAATGGATGGTCTTCATCCTCAGAATGCAGCTGCTCTTTATATGGAAGGTCACTATATGGGAGAAGGTCCTTTTCGTTTGGGACAGTAAATGCAACATAGTTGTTCACATGCTTTGAGATTTTGGAGAAGTGTATTTGCAGAATTTCACATTTGGAAATCTGTCTTTGAGTGACAGTCATGTTCCTTGTAAGGTGAGTATGAATAGGTAAAATTAGGGTGTTTAATTATGGTTGCTTTGTTGTAGTAGTATGTTTGTAGCCTTGTAAGCATATGCAAGGGTATTTATTAATAGCTTGTTCAATTTATCAATTGTATATGATGAGTATCCTTTGTACTTGGTATTTTAAATAGTAATGAACCATATATGGTTTTTACTGCGAAAGTGTTAAATCTGTAATTTAATGAGCGTTGTGGATCATATTGGTGTCAAATTTATATTTAGGGATGGAATTGCATCCTCTTGAAACTCATTTCGACCCATCGAGTTATTCAGACTTTTCATGCAAAAGATAAATAGATATAATCAGCCATTTTGAAAATGTATCCTAATTTATTCTCTTTTGATTGAACAAATTAATCCTGGAGATTGAAATAAACAAAATAAAAAGTCCTAGTACAAATATTAGGAATAACATTGTACTGTCGGAAAAAGGAGTACTATTATTATTGTGCATTATATTGTTAACATTAGTGAAAATATTGTATCAACAGAAATTTTTGGTGGTCAGATCTTAATTGTAATTCATGGGAGGATTGCATAAAATTTTCACTTGGTCTGCCGTATAAAATTACCCTCTTTTAACTTGTCTTATTTTTCCAACTACACCTTAAGGATTTTAGTTGGACAGTGATACTCACGCACTACATACGTATTGCCACGTCATTTTTTTAAATGTGATTTTTTGCTTTCTTTTTCACTTTTTCTCCCACCATCTTCTATTCATCATATTTTCACTATTTTTGAACCACCAAACAACCATCAAACTAAAACCACCCGTTGAATCATCACGAAGAAACCACCAAATCCAAACCACTACCAAGTCACCAACGTCCAATTGAAAAATCAACAAATGTAGAGAGCTTGCTCAAAAAGTAAAGAAAAAACTGTGAGAAGACTAATCTCATTTCACCTTTGCGTTCTTATGTAAATAATGAAAAATTTAAAACCTTAGAAATACTATTATCCTCGTTAACGAATAAATGTTTCAAAGCGAAAAAATTGCTCAAAAGTGATGTAGTGAATATTTTGACAAAAATACTAGACTCGATAAAGAAAAAAATATAAATTTGTCATTGAAGTAAATTTCTAGATAAAGCATAAAGGATGACCTGTTGTTTTCTTTAGCTCAACTAAATAATTTTTATGATCTGGGTTTTACTTTCTATGATTCAAACAAATAATTTTAGTGAGATAAAAGAGTTAGATTTGTGGTTAGTGAGATATAAATGACGGGTCTTTGAAAGAATGGAGCAAAAAATTTATAGATGGAGTGAAAGAAAAAGTGGAGTAATGGAGCTTGGCCGGTCAAAAATGGAGTTTTCCTGTCAACGTTATCGATTTTCTAGTCAAGAGTGCTTTCTACTTGCTTCTCACGCGTTTGATGGAGAGTGTAGTCATTTTCTATGCCATGCCAGCAAAAAAGGGTGATAATTCCACTTCAAAATAGTTTAGGGGGGTTATAAAATTTTCGCAAAGTTTAAGTGTGTAATTGATAAACTAAAACTAGTTGAGGGGGTAATTATGTATTCTCCCAACATGAAAAAGAAGGGAAAAAAATAAATGTGTTATGAAAATAATTATATTGTGGATGTCCATTTATTACTCTGCTATAGATAATCTTCTTGAAGAAGACAATCCATTTAGTACTCTGTTGAAGTTTATCTACAAGCAGCTGATGCATGCACGTTGCAAGCAGCTCAATGAAATGATTTGCAGCAGCTTCTTATTAAACAGGCTAGTTGCAAGCAGCTCATGCAGACAACTTACAAGAAGCTAAAGAAAAGCCTTGCAGCTGCTTCCTGAAAAGCCTCGCAACTGCTTCCTTTCTTCTATAAATAGAGGAGTTTTCAGTTCATTATGTACATAAGTTTGAAGTTTGAATAATATATCAGTTTCTCTTACAGTCTTTATTTTATAACACGTTATCAGCACGAGACTCTGCCATCTCGAGAAAATACTTTGAAAGTATCAGAGGTACGAACTTTTTTTTTCTAAATAATGTCAAATCTTTCTAAACTTGAGTTTGTAGCCCTGGATATATCGAGCAAAAGCTACATGCNAATCAGGCATCAAACCAAGACCGTGCCAAAATAATGATATTCCTACGCCATCACCTTGATGAGGGCCTGAAAATGGAATAACTTACTGTTAAAGATCCAGTCATACTGTGGAATAATTTGAAAGATAGATATGACCACCTAAAGATGGTCGTTCTTCCACAGGCATGTTATGATTGGACTCATCTAAGGCTACAAGATTTTAAATCTATCAGTGAGTATAATTCTGCTATGTTCAGAGTTATTTCCCAATTGAAACTATGTGGTGATAATATTACTGATCATGATATATTGGAGAAAACTTTTACCACTTTTCATGCCTCGAATATGCTCCTGCAGCAACAATATCGAGAGATGGGATTCAAAAAGTATTCTGAACTTATCTCACATCTTCTTGTAGCCGAGCAACATAATGGGCTATTAATGAAAAACCATGAAAGCCGACTTACTGGTTCTTGCCCATTCCCTGAAGTGAATGAGACGAACTTCCACCAAGCTAAGCGTGAAAAAGAACGTGGCCCCAGTCGTGTTCATGACCGTGGTCGGGGAGGAAACTCTAATCGTGGTAATAATAATGCACCAAAGAGCCCTCCTCACCACCAGCAGTGGAAAAGGAAGGAACAAAAACATAAAGCAGTGCAAACAGCAAAGCCAGAAAATGCATGCTATAGATGCGGAGGAAAAGGGCACTGGTCACGTACATGTCGTACGCCAAAGCACCTGGTAGAGCTGTATCAAACCTCCCTGAAGAAGACAAAGAAAAGNCAGAAATACTTTTCTTATTTGCATAAGGAAAAAACAAATGTTTCTACAATTTCTGGTAATATAAGTTTGATTGAAGGCTCCGGAAGAGCTACTGTATTTCTGCCTAAAGGAACAAAACTTATTATCGACAATGCATTGTTCCCCTCCAAGTTCCGAAGAAACTTGTTGAGTTTTATAGATATTCGCCGAGATGGATATCATGTTGAGACAATAGATGAAATGAAGGTGGAATATCTTTGTATTACAAAGAATATTTCTGGCCAGAAATGCATTATAGAAAAGTTACCAACTTTATCTTCTGGCTTATATTATTCAAAGATTAGTACAATTGAAGCATACTCTATCGTAAACCAGAAGTTTATTGATTCAAATACTTTTGTGCTTTGGCATGGCCGTTTGGGCCATCCTGAATCAATAATGATGAGACGAATTACTGAAAATTCGAGTGGGCATCCATTAAAGAACATGAAGATTCTTACAAATAATGAATTTTCTTGTGATGCTTGTTATCAAGGCAAAATGATCACTAGACCATCACCAATGACGGTTAGCATTGAATCCCCTGCCTTTTTAGAACGTATACATGGGAATATATGTGGACCTATTCACCCACCAAGTGGGCTGTTTAGATATTTTATGGTCCTAATAGATGCTTCTTCAAGATATTCTCATGTGTGCCTACTATCATCTCGCAACCTGGCGTTTGCAAAGTTATTAGCCCAAATAATTCGATTAAGGGCACAATTCCTAGATTATCATATAAAGGCTATTTTCCTTGATAATGCTGGAGAATTCTCATCTCAAACTTTTGATAATTACTGTCTATCAGTTGGGATAAAAGTTGAATATCCTATAGCTTATGTTCATACTCAAAATGGTCTTGCAGAGTCATTTATCAAACGACTGCAATTGATAGCAAGACCATTACTTATGAAAACAAAATTGCCCATTACTGTTTGGGGCCATGCTATCTTGCACGCAACATCACTTATCCGTTTCAGACCGACACATTATAATAAATATTCTCCGTCACAATTAGTTTTTCGTCATGAACCAAATATTGCCCATCTACGAATTTTTGGATGTGCTGTATATGTGCTAGTAGCACCACCACAACGCAATAAGATGGGCTTCCAAAGAAGGTTAGGAATATATATTGGGTTTGAATCACTCTCTATTATTCGCTATCTTGAACCATTGACGGAAAATTTATTTACTGCTCGATTTGCAGATTGTCGATTTGATGAAACAAATTTCCGACAATTAGGGGGATATAAAAAGGAAATCAAAAGAGAAATTGTGTGAAAAGTTTTATCATTATCTCGCTTTGATCCACGTACCTCTATATGTAATCAGGAGGTCCAGAAGATCATCCATTTACAAAATATATCAAATCAAATGGCAGACGCATTTACTGATTTGAAAAGAATAACTAAGTCATATATCCCTACAGAGAATATTCCTATCCGAATTAATGTCCCAGTAGGACCATCTACTAGCATGAGAGCTAGTGAACCTAAAGCACGCCTGAAGCGTGGTCGGCCTTTGGGTTCTAAGGATCAAAATCCTAGAAAAAAAAATCGACAAATGATCAAAATGATATTATGAGGGATCTCCTGAAGAGACCCAAGATCTGATTAGTTTTGAGATTCCCGAAGAAATCAATGAACCCGAAACTCAAGTGAGTGAGGAACTTTTAATAAGTTCTACTGGTGATATGATTAATTTAAATCGATCTAAAATAATGGTGGATAATATTTTCGCATATAATGTTGCACTTAACATTATGCAAGATAGTGAGAATCTTGATCCCCGATCTGTCGAAGAATGTCGACAAAGATCTGATTCGCCAAAATGATAAGAGTCAATTCAATCGGAATTGAAGTCACTTGCTAAAAGAGAGGTCTTTGGACCAGTAGTCCAAACACCTGCTGGTATAAAACCAGTTGGTCATAAATGGATTTTTGTGCGAAAAAGGAATGATAAATGAAGTTGAAAGATACAAGGCTCTCCTTGTTGTACAAGGATTCTCACAACGACCTGGAGTCGATTATGAAGAAACATATTCACCCGTTATGGATGTCATAACATTTCTATATCTCATCAGTTTAGCCTTACATGAAAGGTTTGAAATACATCTAATGGATGTGGTTACAACTTATCTGTACGGGTCACTTGATAATAAAATTTACATGAAAATCCCTGAAGGATTTAAAATGCCTGAATCATATTCAAAATCTCGGGAAATGTATTCCATCAGATTACAAAGATCTTTGTACGGTTTAAAACAATCTGGGCGCATGTTATATAATCGCCTCAGTGAATATTTGCTGAAAGAGGGTTACATAAATGATG